ATCTGCTTAGTGCTATAGTTGCTGTATATAATTGGGATTCAATTCCATTGGATACTTGGGATTTTTGGCCTCTTATTGTTATTAATATTATTGGTGGTTTTCTTTTTGTCATGATATTGTCAAATATAATTATTTCATTTATGGGGTATGTATAATTTACCTTTATTCTAATTCTTTTTTTTTTAATTTTTACTAAATTTTTATTGTCTTTCATAAATAAAGTAACGCATTCGCAAATGCTGAAACAGACAGTAGACACGGTGTGCTCTTACTTCAGAAAGAATTAATTTATGATTATGCAGTTCTAGAGGGGTCTTCTCTTACATCTAAAACAAATATCTTTGATTTTTTATTTAAAGACAAGTTACATATAAGGTATATATGTTTCTTAGATGAAGAATTACTTACACAATCATGGAAAGATAAATCAGTTGAATTAGGTTCAAGATGGTTGGATGCGTATGGTTTTCATTTTAAAAATAAAGAATCTGAGGATGAAGATGATATTGAAGAAGTTGATTTTATTTGGACTCGGGATAGACCTGATGAACTTGATGAACCTGTAGAATAAGTTCTAGAAAAAATGGACCAAATATACAAATTGTTAAAAAAAAAGTTTTTGGAGTTTTTGTGTTTAACTGATCTAAAATTAACTCAAACGTTAGTATAGATTTTTAAATTTATATTTTTTATTATTTAATTATAATTATAAATTTTATAAAATAAAAAGAAAAAACTTATTTTTCACCACCTTTGGTCACTTTTATTGAATTTATCCTATTTTATTTTTCCGATTTATAATTCAACATAGTAAAAATACTATTGAAAAAATCCTATTTATTTTTCGAAATGCATCACTTATTTGTTAACTTTGAAACCCCAATTATTAGTAGTTGAAAATAATACGTAATAGGTAAAGCAGAATATTACATTCTTTGACCATATATAAATTCATTAATGAATTTTTTATAATTCGTTTTGAATTCCTATTTTTATATTAATAATTTTGCAGTAAGTTAAAAAGATTCTTTAAACTTAGTATTATTCCGATAAAAAGCTTATAATAAATTCTGCCGACCTCTATTTTAATAACAGTTTGGAATAACCATGTATTCACAATATTCGAATATGTTCTTTACAAATAACATTTAATGAATAATTTGTATTCGTAAAAAAAAAAAAAAAAAAAAAAAAAAAAGAGCCATAATTTATTGTTGATATCATAACTAGTAATAAGACAAATAATAATTTTAAAAAATAAACCTTTCCTACGTTATAAACCTTTCCTGCTCTTTCTATTTAATTCATATACTGTAACTATCGATACTATGTCAATTTACTAAAAGAAATACGAGAATTAATTGATTATTTTTTAATTTGAAATACTTCAAATTCATCTACTGAAAAATATGAATTTGAATTTCGAATTGGTTTTTCATATGATTTAATCCAACTAAAATATTGTTGACCTAGATTATATTGACTGTTCATACCAAGATCAGTACCATTACCGAATAGTGGACCATAATTAGGTGCGCAATAGATTGCATATTCAGGATCCTTTACACGACTTAAAATAGAATTTGAAATGTTACCATTTTTCAACGAAAAAATAAAACATTCATCACATCTTTTATGCCCATAAATTGATTGATTCCATTCAATAGGATTATATCCACCAAGAATTTCATCAGTACCCTTAACTTTCATGATTATAATTGTGTTTGCTTTCCTATCACATAAATTCCAAAACGTAGCATTGATGAAACCATCTTTACTTCCACGAAGAAGTAAATTAAAATCGTAAGGATTATTTGTTGAATTATATTGAATATCTCTTTTATCAATCCATGAAGCTATTTCAGCTGCATGTTCTTTGGTAATAATTTTCGAAAATTGATCTGTTAATCTAGATGGTAATTTTCGTTCTAAACTAATACGAGGTGGTAAAATTATTGAAGATATATGTTGATTAGGTGCCATAAATTTTCTAATCAAATCTTCCCAAAGATTTGTTCCTAGAATATCTTTATACGGTAAAACGTGTTTCATAATATCGTCACCAGGAATTTGAAAATAACGAATATGGGGTAAACAATTTTTTAAAGTAGTCTTCAAAGTCATAAAATCTTTCCGAGTCCAATTTTCAAGTACGGGAGATAGTTCCGGATTTTGAGCAATTCCCCATTTAATAACACGATTCCAAATCTTTGTTTCTTCTGCTTGCAAATCATCACGTTTAATAAGTGAAACAAGAGCATTTTCTTGAAGAGAAGTAAAATCATCCGAATCAAAAATATGATTCGGATATTTAGCTATAGTGTTAGTGCACCATTTTTGCAATTCCAATAACTTGTTATTTTGAAAGCTTAATTTATAAATCTTTGCAAAATGTAGACGTAGCCAATGATCTTTAAATTTAACTAAATTGGTTTCAAGGTGCTGTACCAATTCATCGAGAAGTAATTCAGAAGCAACTAACATAAGATCAAAAATGAATGATTCATCAAGATTTTCTAAAGAGACTACACCTCCATAGATAAACCTTAATAAAGTTTAACAAGAGTTAGTTTTAATCGTTATTTTGTATTATAAATACGTAAAAATATATTAGGACTTACTTAATAATAATTTCGAATTGTTGAATAGAAATATGTGGTTTTAATCTAATTCTTGTACTAATTCTTGTACTAATTCTTGTAATATTATTCGTTTTTTTAGTAGCATTTTCCAATTCATTACAAAAATATGTAGATCTATACTTCAAAACAATGGAGTGTGCTCTAAATTCCTTAGCGTCTAAAGAATTGCCTACTTCAATTATCACATTATAATCTTCTTCACTTTCAAGGAGTTTAATGTAATTATCGGAAAGTTTTTCAAGAAATTTGGATGCCATTTATTGATATGTCAAGTTTTGATAGTAGGTCATGCGTTATAAATGTTAAGAGATATGTCACTCGAAATGTTAAGAGATATGTCACTCGATCTGTACTTTTTATTTTAAAGGTTTATCCGGGTGAAAATTAATGTCGATCGAATTTAAGATTACTGGATTTGAACCAATTGCTCGGGTAAATATACATTTATGGTCAAGTCCCGTTTCTCCCCCCTTGCACGATACATTTAAATCTAGAAAAGATATCGATAATCTGATTAAAAAATGAAGTATTATTTTCCCGGTATGGCTAACAAAAAAAAAAAAAAATCATGCCTGTGGCTGTGAAAGAGACTTGTTACTTAGAGTCACCGGTATTATAACGAACTAAAAAAAAATTACGTCGCTGGGTTAAATTTAAAATTCTAAAAGCTTTTTGATAGGGATGGTAAAAAAAACCGGTTTAACCAGTTTTTTAAATTTTTAAAACATCGGCAGCTGATGCTAAAATTTGGCTTGGCTGAAACTGAAACCACCGCTTCTGATTGGTTAATTTCAAAAATGCATTCCTTTATAATTTCGAATTTATTACAAATATTACATGTAAGAAATGTATTTTGACCAATTTAATTTAATTTTTATTTATTACCAATGCTAATTTATTATGAATATTTTTAAATGAATAATTTATGAACCAGAGTTTTGAATTTAATAAATAGCTTATATGTTTTTAAAGTTTTTATTAAATGTTCCTTTATCTGACTGATTAAATCAACAAAGTCCTCCTCGCAATGAATACACTTTTGGCGAGGTCTTGTCAATTTCTGTAACTTTGAAGTTTAAACGAACTTCTTTCAAATGGAGGTCTTCTACGAGAGTTATTCACAATAAAATTTATTTTTATTTTATTTTATTTTTTTTTTTAATATTAGCAATAGTAATAAATAAATACTATTTAATGATAAATCGAATTGTATCGGTATAATTTAATTATCATGATTAAAAATCGTGATTTTAAGATCGTGATTTTAAGATCATGTTTTAAAACATTTGCCATCGCTACTTTCTATAAGTTCTTGGAACAAGTAAATATAAATTCAAAACGACGATAAGAAAAAGAAAAAATTTTCATGACATAGCTTTTTCTTTTATGAGCAAAAATAACGTAATAAATAATTTGAGCAAATAGTCAATTAATTATTGAATTTGCGCATACCGATACTTATTACTTGATTGTCATTCAGAAAATATGGTAGAAACTACGATTGCAAATCGGTCCATCCTAGTCCAAGGACCGCCGAACTTTTGAACATCGGACTGGATCGCAATTCAGGACCGATTAAGATTATGTCAATTATAGAGATAGGTAATTATTGATTTTATTCATTGCGAGTAAAAAATTTTTATTTACAAATAGTAAATTTATTGACAAAGGTAGCTGCGCAGCTAGGGTTAATCAATGCAGGACAAATACGATTATGTGGGGGTGCCTTCAACTAACATAATCAAATCTATATTTTATATGCAATTATTTTGTGCTATCTTTATGCATTAATTACTACCTGCTAATATAATCGTTATATCAAACATCAATAAAAATTGCAGAACTTGCTATTAATATGTCATTATAAATATTATTAATAAAAAATATTTATCGCAGTTTTTGAAATGGTAAAAAATTGTTTTTGGACCATTTGACCCATTTTGTTGATCCGCTCTAAAAAAAACTCACCATTTTTGATCATTAGGGTACAAAGAGGAGAAACTATTAAAATGCCGTAATAACTTAAAATATATAAATTTAAAATAGGGAATTGCTATTTACACCCCCATTTTTGCTAATGCCATCTCCTAAATTTTAAAAAATGCTTCGGAAGAGGTATTGTTATTAAGAAAACCCTCCTTTTGATTTTAATAAAAGTTGTTTATCAGGCCTTTCTGATTCTAATGGTAGTAAAATCGGACCAATAGTTTTTTTTTTTAAAGTAAATGAAAGTTAATTAACTTCGGATATATATATCTTAGGAACTACTGGTCTGAATATAATGATTTTACTACTATTAGAACTAGAAAAGCCTGATGAACATCTTTAATTAAGATCAAAAGAAGGGTTTACTTAACAGTCACACGATTTGTCACATCTAAAATTTTATCATATGATTTTCATAAATTACACAAATCGACGAATTTACAATTTTGAATCTATTGCCCAAACCCCAGTTAAAATATGCGTGTTCCTTAAGATAATCTTGTCGCTGAAGCTTCTACGAATCTAATGGTATAAATAATTTAACAAATTAACGTTTCATTATGAAATACTATGTCTTTGAAAGTGAGGCATTATTTTGCATACTTTCGCATGATTCTTTTTAAGCTTGCAAGCTCATAATATAAACGCTGTTTCATTAGTTGCACAAATGCAAGAACTTTTTCCAAAATGCATCTTCGAAGGGCTGATGCATTATGAACATAATGAGGAAAAATTGGGGAACAGTTTAAGCTATTAAGTAGATCATATTTTATTTTATATTTTACTTCATTTAAGCTAAGTAATTTTTTTTTTTTCAAATAACTTTCATATTTTATTATTATTATTCATGTTTTTTTTGTTACAAAGGCTTTATTCTGTACTAGCTTGGAGTTGTGCTCATCCTTTTGGCCTTATATACTGGTTATACCATTGATCTTGAATTCGTTTTAGATCCCAATAAGAAGTATAAATTGACAACCTTTTTGCCGGATCTTTAACAACTTCTGGAGGCAAGACAGTGGAATCTTTATATTCTTCAAGCTCTGATAGTATTTGTTCTGGATTTCCTTAGCATAGGTGGCCAATATAAAAATATTATAAGGTTATAATATAAAAAAACTCTAACCCTAACCTTAACCTAATTATAAATTATACTATAACTCTCACCCTAACTCTAGCTATTCTTAAATTTGCTTAAATTAGTTTAAATAGTTATTTTTATATATTATAATTTATAATATTTCTATATTGGCCATCTATATTAAAGATCAACCTTTGTTCTTCAACATCTGTGATTGTGTGTGTTGATTGTGTTCTTAGGTAGGGTAAGTTTTCACTAATCACTTCAATTTCTATATTGTCATCATGTAGCTCTGAAATTGGAACAGAACTTTCAATTTGCTTCTGTATTACTAGACTATTAGCTTCTGGACTATTAGATTTTGTTCTTACATGCTTTTTATTTGTTATCACTTTTATAGAGACTAGAAGCTATTCACCTAATTTTGGTTTTCTTTGTGTAGAAATATTTTTAACAATTTCTTTTATTTTTTTGATTCCTAATTCATAGCAAGTTAATATTCATTAGTATTCTTTTTCTGTTAGTTGTATAATATCTGCAAATAATAGATGAGATTCTGGATTTTAACTATTTAATACTAATTTAAGCTCATTAATTAGCTTCCAAAGCACTTTTAGATAATCTTTAACTGACTGTGGGCTTCAGCTTATTAATAAATCACTAGTAAATTCTGAAATTAGCAAAATAAGTTGATCATATTTTGCTTGTATAGCCTTGATATTTAGTTATAAATTTTTTAAATTTGTTGTATGACCAGTTATGTTCTCTTTTAGAAACTTTGCTCCAAGTGTTTCTAAGGCTTCATCAAAAGCAAGGCAATTCTTTTTTTGTGTTAAGTTAATTGAAAGAACTGTCTGAAGAGCTTGAAGAAATTGCAAATCACTTTGAAGCTCTGATATGAATTGAAATACAAACTCAGCATATCTATATTTCTTTGTAATATGAAATACAGATACAAATATCATTAAGCTATACATTTGTAAATCGAAGTTTGCTAACCAAATATCATGTTTATATAATTTCAAATACACTGTCTATTGATAAAAAATATACTATACTTTCAAAATATTATTATTTTCTTTAGGAATATTACTAATAAAAATATTTTTTTCTTTAGCATATTGATGAATTGCAACTCCTATAGCTGTCCAAAGAAGACCAAATACTCAAAATATTGCATGGAAGTCTGCAACTTTTTCAAGTTTATCAAAAAACTTAACACCAAGCTGAGCAGCAAGCCCAAAAATTCTATAGCCTGAAAAGGTTTGTACTACACATTGCTTTGCTCATGTGCTATTGTTTTAAAATACAGTGCACTGTTTGTTTTCATTTTTATAATCTTTTATGTGATGGTAAATTACTTCATCACATATCAAATTTAATACACCATCTTCAGTATAACCAAAATCTTCTAAGAACATATTGTTGGCCTTGTGTACATGTTTATCTTTACTCAGAGCTTCTCCTGGTTCAAGAATTATAACATTTGAAGAAACTACAAATAACATTAAATTAATATTTTTTTTTAATAGCTTTGTTGATATATTCAATACTGAAGGTTGACTCTTAACTAACTAATTGGTTAAAGACTATATCTATTTTGGTTTGTCATTGTTCTATAATAGAACTTATACCAAAAAGAAGTATATTTTCTATTAAATTTTTATTTAAACTAGCAAGTTCAGAATATTGAAACTAAAGACTATTCATATTATTGCATGTGCAGTATTGCAAACTACTTCAAAAATATTATCATATTGGAAGGTTGTATCTTTCATATTGATATTATCTATAGCGACAATATTCAAAATATTTGGATTTTGGTTAAGAAGCCTTGTCTGAAGTTCGGCATTAACTATTCTTTTTTTTTGAACATGCACTTTATAATCTCTAACATATAACAATACCCGAACTATATAGAGGATTTTGTATAAAGATCCTATCATTTTTGGTCATTAGTACAAAGAAAAGAGAACATACATAAACTATATTTTCTAATTTTTAAATATGGTGTAAGTATTACAGAAATAAAGAAAAGAGAAAGTAGAATAATTTTTTTTATTTAAATGAAAAGGTGGCATATTTTCTCTTTTTATTTTCTAGCTAATACTTGTATTTTTTTCTCTTCTATAGCTAAAATCAAGCTAGTAAAAAAACTAATTAGAAGTAATAGCATGGCATTATAATATTCTTTTAAAGATTCTGGCTTTTCAAGCGATAGTAATCTTTTTTTAAGTTCTGCTTATTCTTGTAGTACAGAATTAGCAAGCATTATTCCAAAAGTTTTACATGGGTTAAGTGGGTCAAAAACAATATTTTTTGTAAAGAAAATAATAAATTATATACTATATATATAGACACAGCTATGGGCATTGGTTGGCTACAAACAGATAACAACCAAATCATACACACTTTTCAAGCTCAAATCTTACTCTGGCCATGCTCCTTCAAGGCTAAGCTCCTTGCAATTCTGTCTGCTATTTGCACTGCCTCAAGAAACTGCAATATTGAAATTTTTACTGACTCCCAGTCTGTAATCTCTAAATATTATAGCCTCACACAATATACTGCAAACACTAGCTCTTTAAATACTTCATACTTGTCAATCTGGAATACTTTTCTTAACTTTATCCAATCATATAACCTTAACATCACTTTTTACAAAGTTAAAGCACATCAAAATGATGAACTTAACAACAAAGCTGACCAATTAGCCCATAATCACACTAACTCACTA